TTTTACTTTTCCAAAAATATTGTTAAGATAATTCCTGTGGTAGTTCTATAGATTTTCAGATTTATTTATTTATTATTATTTTTTTCCGAAAGCTGGAAAGCAAGAAAGCGTACGTCTAGGATTCTGACTTCCTAGCTAAATTTTTAGTTTATTTATTTATTTTTTTTTTTTTTTGCAGAAATCTTGTATTAAAAGTCTGTTTCGTTTATAGTTATAGTTTAAAGATTTGCTTATTGATTTGTACAAGACACATTGCAAATAAAAAGAAAAAAAATTTTTTTTTTTAAGTATTATAAAAAAATAAAATATATGATACTTATGGACATGTGAGCATATTTATACATCTAAAAAAAATTTACTTAATAGACTATAACAACTTGACTATGAAGATAGATCCTTAAAAAAAAATTCTTTGAGTAATTATCTTAGGATTAGATTATTATAGATTAATACAAAAAAAAAAAATATATTCTATATTAATATAACATTATTCATCAACATCAATATATAAAATGCTTATTAATGTTTTTTTCTTTAATTACAGCTGATGTTCACGCAGCCAGCTGCAGTCGGCAAGCCCGTGGAGCGAGTTTCTGGTAAGTAACCTCTATATACCATACATGATAAATGATTTTCTAGAAATATGCCTCCTTCTAGTGGTTCGTGCAGCGGGCACTTTCTATCCAGAGAACGCCAGCTCGGCTCAAGCTGCGGAGTTGACGGACAACTCCGGCAGATACGGCTCGCTGCCCAGCGCAGATTGCAGTGCGGATCAGCCGGAGGATCTGAGCATGCGCACCGGCGCAGCGGTCTCAGCGAGTGGGCGTGGCGAGCCGGAGACGAAGCTGCTGCAGTTCAAGCAGCTGCTCGACCTGTACCAGCGGCAGGTGCTGCTGCCCAGTTTCCTGGCTGCGGCCAGCCAACCCGCTGCGCTGGACATGCGCCTGCTGCTGGAGAATGCGGCGCAGCAGAAGATGCTGCTGATCAATGCGGCGGCAGCGGGCGCCGTAGCAGCAGCAGCGGCCGCAGCAGCAGCCTCAGCCACAGCCCCAACGGGCGCAGCGGCAGAGGAGACGGTGCCAGCAGCTGCAGCTGCAGCGGCCCCAACGGCCGCTCGCGCTGCTGGCAAGCGCGCCAGGGATCAGGACATACCCACGGGCTATCTCAAGTTCCGCTTCAACGAGGACTGCGGCTTCGAGCGCTGCGGCTACCGCAATCACCAGTCGCATTTCCACTGCAATCGGCGCGACTGCCACTACAGCTTCTGCGACAAGACGCGCTTCGTGCAGCACACGGCGCGGCACGAGCGGATGGACAGCCTCATGGGCGAGGACTTTCGCCAGTATCGCGCGAACATGCGCTGCGGCGTGCCAGACTGCTGCTATGCCACGCAGGCGACGGCAGCAGGTGCGGCAGGTAGGTGGGCAGGCGAATCCTCCGCGCACTCTCACTTCTCCTGCTAATGCGAGAACTTCTTCATTCACAGACGACAGCCTGGCGTTGGGCGCGCCCAAGAAGTCCTCGCACTTCCACTGCCGTAAGTGCGACTACGTCTGCACCGACTCCAACAAGGTGGTGGCCCATCGGCGGCTGCACCTGCGACTGGAGTACGTGCGCTCGGCCGGCTTCCGGAAGATCGCCAGCAACGAGCCCTGCGACTCACCTGGCTGCACCTATGCGCAGCGGCACACGCACTACCACTGCACCACCTGCGATTGCAGCGTCCTCTCGCGCGCTCAGCTCGCCTCGCACCGCCACCGGACACTGGGCCAGGCCGCCAAGCAGTTGGCGGAGGGAGCAGCTCCCTCCAGCTCCCCACTGGACGTCGAGGCGTATCCCTAGGCCAGGGGCTCTGCAAAAGCTACAGAAGCCATACAAATCCAAATGCAAAATGTAAATTAGATCAATTTAAATGAAGCTAAGTGAAGAGAATTAAAACTGGAAAGATGAAGGAAAAAAAAAATTTAATAAATTTATAACTAGAAATATATTAAATATCTACAGTTATATTAATTATAAAATATTATTTATTTAATTTAAATAATACTTGTATTTTTACACTCAGTTTATATTAATTCTCTTATATTTTCATTTTAATTTTCATCCGAGTATTGCATATTAACCCGATTTCGACGATTTGGTGACCAATGCTGTATGTACTGGAAGAGTGAGCGCAGAAAGATAAAGTAGAATAGTTCCGCAAGGAAAACTACGCTAAAACCAAACATCAGACTCATAATGCCACCAGTTAAAGCTAAAACACAGCAAATATATCGCATTATTAATATATAGTATAATAGATTCTTAAGATCCAGTTCCACTCACACATATATTCCGTGAGACCCGTGTAGGAGGATCTCACATGGCTGCGAAAGTAATTGTCGTCGTGATAGAAGTTAACTATCGCCAAGTTCGTAACAATGAAATCCGTTGAGAAGTTTTTAAAGAAATCGCCCTGAGAGCTAACACTATCTTGCTGGAAAGGAATGATGGGTATGCTGAACGCATTGGGAAAGTACGTGACATCGTGACAGCCAGTGAGACAGAGTTCCTTGCACTCCGTACTCTCGCCATCCGCATTCCCGAGCTCCGCCCGATTCACGCAATCGAAGTGGGCGACATGGCAAACGGTGGCATTGCGATAGATCAAGGGCAGGTAATAGGGTATGCAGTCGCAGAGCCTTAGGAAATAGATCGCATCACACTCTGCCTCGCAGTTGCGCCGTGTGTAGTACTTGTAGAAGAGGAGCTTCTGCTCATCACTGAAAATACATTTTCGCGTCATGCGATCGATGTTGCGTATGGATGGGACAGCTTCATAGCTATTCGGCACGATGCGATAGTTGGTTTCGTGACCTAGCATGATGGGTAATCCAGATTCCTTTAAGCGCGGCTGATCGATGGAGTTGTATAGAAGTACCTAGGGTATAAGGGAGAGTATACATCTATAGAGATATACAAATAGATATCTTAGAATCATTAGAATGAATGTGTATCAATAAATAACTATAGAGCTATAGAGTATACGAAGCGATTAAAGAAACGTACACTCTACCTCAGCGTTTGTAAAATAAATATGATAATGATGCATCAAAAATATTAAGGGATCATAAAAGTATGCATACCGTTTAGAAGATGAACTCATGATATAGTATATACTAAAATTTTTACTCTCATCTCCATTCTACTACGACTTACGATTTTTTGATCATGATATTGTACTTATATATCAATATTTGTACTCTCATCTCTATTCTACTGCGATTTACGATTTTTTATACAATCTTGATTATAATAAAAATCCAAACCTTAAATCCTTGTCCATTAGTTGAGGAGCAATAATACTCGTCTGTAAACCCATTGAGCACAATTTTCAGACCGTTATAAATGCCCATGCCAAGACCTGGACGGGGATAATATCCAGCAGGTAAATATTTTGGATAGCCCGTGATGGGATTCCAATCTACAGCAATATCCGAAAGACCCTTGGAGGAAGTATAATCACGGAGTGTAGAGTCACTGAATGAAACTAAATTATTATGATCTCAATGTAAAGAAATATTTAAATAATTTATGCAAATATAAAAAATACTTATTTTACAATACAAAAACAATAAAATATATATATTGAAATTGTTCTTATTAAAATATATACATTCCAAATTTCATAACAGCACACAACAACAAAAATTACATTTATTTATAAAATAAAAACAAATAAATAATTTAATTATGGTTATAATAAAAAAAATATAAACTCAAATATAAATTAAAACAAAATATCAAAATTATTATAGATATTAAAAATAAATATAAATTTATTTATAATCAAAATTAAAAACTCAAGTAATAATCATTTAAAATTTAATAGAAATGTTCAGATTAATTAATTTTGTATTATATCAAAACTTGCAGTTCATATTATTTCCCACCTGTGCTTGTATAAATAATACGGATGCAGAAAATTGAAGACGCAGCAGAGGCCCTCGTCCACGTAGATCTCCCGGAATAGATCCGTGCAGGGCAGAGTCTTCTGGCCAAATTCGCAGGAGACCATCATCTCGTCGCACTTGTGCGAGATATTAAAAATGAAATCGGCAAACGAATTGCGCTTGAGGCGTGGCCTAAAGGAACTGAAGCGAGTGTAATTGAATTCCTGGTTGCACGCCTTCTGCAGCATCGCGTGCTCCAGCGAACCACTGAGGGAACTTGAGTATTCAATTTCCAGATATCTATGGGAGTTACGTACTTTTGAAATGTGGACACTATGGAGCTCTTGGCCTTGTTCATGCTGCACACAGTTATCGCTGGGAAGGGTATGCTCTGTATCGCAGTCACCGTTGGGCTAATGCCAATGATCACGGGCGTGCTCTGCCACTTGTGGAACACATTCACGGCCAGGTTGATGGCCACATAGACGGCCACTATGAACACCTTCACAAAGTAGAGCTGCACCCAGCCGGGCAGCTCGTTGTTCCACACATATTTCAAGCCCTGCAAGGATGTGCTGCGCAGAAATTCCTTCGACCTCCGCTCGAAGCTTTGCCACCATAATTTCAGCACTTTCCGTAGCCACATTTTCGACGGATTGCAGACAAATCTCCGCTAGCTACTTGGTGGCCTCCTTATATAGGTGAGCAATACGTTTAAAATGAATTAACTAATGGATTTGCTTTTTCTTTTGTAAGTCTTAAATTGACATCTAATTACACAGGTCTTAATGGCTGTTAGGCATAGATTGGATAATAATAAAGCTAAAAAGGGTGGCATACCTAAGTTGATTGAGTTTGCATCACTCGCGTTGCACTAGTCGATGTTTAATTACTAAAATCTATGCACAATAAATATATGTACAGTTGTACATAAACTAAAGTTAGTGTACAATAAGTAGCTGTACATAAACTATAGCTTCTAGTAGGCTACTTTAGACAGATCTTAAGCATGTATTGGCTATAATATAATCCATACAAATTTGTTAAAGCAAAGAGAACAAAATTTTAAATTTCAATCTAATTAAATTTTTTTAATGTTTTAAAGTAAAATTTTCCTGCTTTTTTATCTTAATGGTTTGGAATTCTTATATAATATGTATATATGCATGTACATCAATTAATTTGTAGTTCTTCGAGGTTTACAAAAATGTTCTGGAAATAACATGGAAGGGGGAAAAATATATTCATGAAATAAAAAATATGTCTCAAAATAAAAAAAAAATAAAAACCAAATTAGCTATATGTAAACTAAGTTTGTTCATTACTATTATTCGGCTCAGTTAGTAAAGCTTCTACGTATTTGCAGTTCGAATATAAGTTTTTATGTAAAAGTAAAACTGGAATATTTCTTTTACGTTTATACATAAATCTATATCATATAATACACTCCATGAAATTCAATTAAAGGCACTCAGTTTTCCTGTTTTTTTTTTTTTTTAATATTATGCATATAATGACCCGGAATAGTCTTAGCACCAATTGGGCTATTATGTCTTTAAATTCTATTATATTCTCGTGTTCTCACCTTGCAGATATTTTGTATACTCTGAATTCAATGAATCATTTATATACATATAAACTATTTTATATTATAGAAACTACCTCTATGAGTCACTCTGAAATTAATAAAAATAAAATTAGATTGTAATGGATTTCTTATTAACAGTTTTTCGTTATAGTTCGAGTCGCAAGCCCATATTATTTCTCATAAGACCTTCCTTATCTCCCCCGTAGTTTTACCTGATTGAGGAAATATATGATAAATAAATATATAATATATACAGTTATACATTCACATTTTACAGAATTTTTAAAATTGCATTTATTCAGACATATATATTTTATGTTAAATATATATATACGCTTGTGTGTATGTATGTATGTGTACATATATATGTGTGTATATGGTATGTTAAGAGTTTGCATTGCCTCTGATTGCAGACTGCCCCTCGGTCGAACTTACAGAACTAATAAACAACGGAATATATGCAGGCAGGCGGGGAATGGGGGAATGAATTGGGTCTAAGTGTTAGCGGGTAGCGGACTGATAAGGTATTTATTTTTCTAAATAAATATCTATATAGCTCTAACTGTACAAGGCCCGGGGCAAAGCTGATAAACGTGTGTTAAGCAAACACAGGCTAAAGCATACAGAATGAAACAGAAACACAAAAATAAAACAAAATACTTGTACGCTGCACTGGGCAAAAGATTTTGGGTCGGGCCGCAGGAATGCATGAAGATTAAGTTTGGGCGGCCTTTAGCGACCGTTCCAGTAGCCAACGCGTCCGTTCTCAAAGGCCAAATTGATGCGTGGATGGGGCAGCGCCTTGCCCGGCTGCAGTGGCTCTCGCAGCTGGGCGGGCGTCGACGGATCGTCCTCGAACAGCAGGCACTGACGCACAAACTCCAGGAACAGCTGCTGCGCCTGCTGCACCGCAGCGGGCAGCGCCTGCAGATTGGCATCGCTGCTCAACTGGCGGACGAGCTGTTCGCAGATGCGCGTGTTTGTGTCCACATCGAAGAGCGGCACACCGAAGTTCACATCCAACAGCGTCCACTCCTCGGTGTTTGGCTCCGGCTCGGCTGCCGCATCCCCAATGGGCAGCTCCACAGAGCTCTGCGAGAGCAGATCGCCACGACTGCTGCTGCTGTGGTCATTGCATTTGGCCAGCTCGCTGGCCAGCAGCTGGGTGCAGTCCGCCGAGGTGTATTCGTTAGCTGGCCCATGCTCGGGCGTTGTGGCGAAGTGATTTTCGTCGGGACTCTTCAGCTGAAAGCTTGTCAGCTGATCATTTGGCACACTGTTTGACTTGCTGGCGGAGGCGACGGCGGCGCCCTGCGTCTGACGCTTGCGCTGCGGCAGCTTCAGCTTCACCTGCAGCTCGTACTCCTCGCAGCCCAGATCGGGCACGCCCGTATTCAGAAATGTTATGTAGCCGCACTGATGACGCAAATCCAAAAGGCTGGACAGCTTTTGCACAGCTCGATGTGTGGCCCACTTGGCCTGGCCCGCATCGGTGGCCTGGAATGGAAACGATTCGTAGTGCAGCTCGCCACTCGTACGGATGCCGTAGCCCTGCAGCAGGATGCAGCCGTTCTTTAGCTGATCGTTCAGATTGCGAAAGTTCTCCGAGTTGAGCACATAGGCGTCCGAATGGAGTATGTTCACCAACAGCTTGCCATAGCCCAGGAAGAGGCGTGGCAGAGTCTTGAGCACCGTGCCGCGACACAGCAGCAAGCTGGGCGGTCCATAGCCTGCGGAGAGCGAAGTGAAATCAAATTAGACTCCGACTCAAGTGGGCAACTCGCTACTCACCCGTGATATGGTTGTAGAACAGCTTGCTCCACATGGGCATTGCGTCGGAACTGCGTACGAACTGTCCGAAAAACGGAATGCTAAACATATGACTCAGCGTGGCCGTCAGCGGCGTGGCCGATACAATGAACTTGTACTTCTTCTCGAGCACACGATCGCGCGTCTGCCAATCGAGGCCCTCCAAGCACTCCAGTCGCAGCAGGTCGAGTCCACCCGGCAGCAGCGGACGCAACGAACAGATGGTGGAGCGTAAGATAACGGCGTGTGCGAAGTACCGTGAGACATCGCCCTCGCCCTCGGCGTCCAGCAGAGAGACCTGCTCCAGTTCGGCCAGAAAGCTGTCCAGGCTCTCCTCGCACAGTTTGCCCACCTCGAACATGGTGACGGCGTGATTCTTCAGCCCAGGCGACAGATTGCCCATCATCAAGAATGCAGTCAACGTGGAGTCGAACAAGAAGCCCACGCGCTTGCCGCTCTTTGGTGAAGCACCGACTGCTGGTGCTGGTGCTGCTGCTGCTCCAACTCCAGGTTTTGTTGTGGTCGTGCGCTCGCTGACCTCTTCCAGCTCGGAGCTAAGCTCGTGGTCGTCGCTGTTGTTGCCATTGTTGTGTGTGGGCGCTGTGGGCGTGGTCAGGTTGGCAAAGCTAAAGTCGCTAGTGTTGCCATCGGACGAGAGATAGCCAATTGAGCTGCTGTCTTTGTCTTTGTCCTTCTCCTTGTCCTTATCCTTCTCCTTGTCGCTATCTTTGTCCTTCTCCTGCTTGGGCGTTTTGGGACTCGACTGCTGCTGCTGCTGCTCGAACTCGAAAGTTTGAGCGTACATGTTGTAGTTGAGCGGCGTTATTTGCGGCGTCTGCGGCGGCTGCTGCTCGTTGTAGGCCGCCCAGCTGGCGTGATGCTGTGCCGAGTCGTGCTCCGTCTGTTTGCGCTGAGCAAAGCCGAGCCGGCAGATGAAGCTGATCGCCTGCTTCACGCTATCCAACTCCAGTTGCAGCATCTGCGCCAGCTCCGCAATGCTCATGTGCTCGTCGGCGCTCACGAAGATCTTGTAGAGCAGATTCTCAAAGTAATCACCGCTAACGCGATTCATGACAAAATTGCGCAGCGGTGGAATGCAAATGCGATCCTCACCGCTAATCGGCACATCCAGATAGATGAGCCCCTTGCGATAGAGGCTCTGCACCACCTGGTAGTCGCATTTGCCCGTTGGCTGGGCGCCAAAGTCGATGAGATCGTCCAGCAGGCTGCGCTCGGCAGGCGTCACGAGGCGTATGTCCGACTCCAGGACATAGCCAATGTCCAGGCGCCACCAGGGCTCCATATGAATGTGCACGGGCAGACGTGGCAGAAAGTCTAGCGGATTCGGTTTGGCACTGAAGAGCAGCGTGCGCGGCGTGTGGGTTTTCAATTCGCTAATTAGCGCCAGATACTCATTGCGTCCAATGCCCAGGACTCGCAGACAGTCCGCAGCTGTGAAATTGGGCAGCGTGTCGTAGCTCTTGTCGCTGCGCAGCAGCTGGCTGAGCACATCTAGGTAATAGTTGAAGGGCGTCACGCGGAGACCCTTGGTCACAATATCGGCGAGATGATAGGGAAATACGCCCAGGCTATTGATATTCTTCTGGATGAGCAACTCGTAGTAGCGCTGCTCCTGCCGAAAAACCTTCGAGACGAGATTGCCTCGGAAGCGAAGCTGATTCTTCAAGCTGTAATTGAATACGTATTTCTCATAGTCGCGCTGGTTGTTGTGCAACACGGAGCGCAGATGCACTGGCAGCTCCTGCCAAGGGACATTTCCACGCACGCACTGCTGCAACTGCAACTGGCAGTTGCCACCCTCTGTCGCCGTCGTCTTAGTCGTTGACGTCGACATCGCCATCGACGTCATCGTCTCCACCTGCGAACGCTCTTTTCGCTGGTTTGTTTACCTGTCGCAGTGCTCAGTTTAGTTGTTGTTGCTGCCTCTTAATAGTTTTGGCCATTATATGTTGTGTTTTAACCAGTATGGAATGTATTTGCTGATGTGTTTACTTTCTTTCTTGCGTTTGCGTTTCGCGTTCGTTACGTTTTGTCGTTCTTATTCTATTTTGGCAGGCAGGCAAATGAGACACAGCTGATAAAAACAATCGTCTGACTGGCAGCTCACTTTCGTACGCGCGCGTTTAGCAGCACTGGATTTTAAAAAATACTGGACTCTAACTGGAAAAATACAACACCCTTTCTTGAAATGGCCACACAGACACTTGGATTCGTTTGGCAACTTGTAAGTGAGCTGGATAGTTTTGTAAATTATCGTAGAATGAAAACAAATAATTTTAGCTGGAAAATTGAAAATTTATTTTAAATACTATACTACTATACTATACTATATATTAAAATATTTTCATTACATTTGAAATCAGTAGTATACAGTTAATAGCTGCTTAAATGAGTAATTTATATAGTAATACACCAATTAGTATTATTTACAAAAATATTACAATTATATATAATAATTTACCAACAGCATTCTCTCCATGAAAAATGTGTCTTTTGAATTTATTGGTCCATGAAAAATATTGCGCCAAAACGATATATCGTTACGCAGCACTTACGGTGAGCATTTGCGAACCTTAGCAACACTGTTTGTTGATGATTTTCAATATTAAAGGCACTCTGCTTTGCCTTGGCTGCGTTTTTCTAAACAAAAAACTGTTCTAAATATCAAAACGTTTAAATTTTTGTTAGGTATAGATGTAAAATTGTGCAAAACTTTGTGTGAATTACAAGTGCTATACTGTTAGTTGTTGACATGCAACTGCATTGGCATTAACAACTCGGAACAACAACAACAAAACGCACACACTCTCGGAAAGGCAGAAAAAGGGACATCGACATCGATTTTTTGCACCCTTTTCGTTGCGCACACACACATATATATATTTTGCGTAGGCAAATTAGCACACAAAGAGAGACAGGCGACAAGCGACAAGTGTCGCCCTGGCCTGGCAAGGAAGCACGCTAAGCAACGACCCAAACAGTAAACATCTATTAGTTTATTGAATCTCAGTGTCTCCCAGTGCGAAAGGGRCGCTCAATGAGCGGCGGCGGCGAGGAACACGAGCAGCTGAAACAGAAGGCGCGGCCAACGTCAACGTCGCCGTTGCCAGGTGTCTCAAGGTGAGTAAATGTATATATATATATATGTATATATAGAATTAAATACGTAAATATGTATCTATGTGAATATATGTTTAATGCTAAACGCATTTGCATTTTTTGTCGGTTACAGCGCATCGACTTCATCAGCTGCGGCTGCTGCGGCCGGCACGGTGGCTACCAGCGGGGGCAATGGTCGGGCCACACCTGAGATGAAACGTTCGGCTGTGCGCAGCCTCATCCAGCGCTACTTTCATCAGCTGCAGTCCGGCTGTGGCAATGTCCACTGCAAGAATGCCAACTGCGCCTCCAGCGGCAAAGTGCCGCCCATGACGCCCAATGAGGTGGCCGCACGAGCCCTTCATCTCTTCTCACAGGACGCACAGCTGTGCGATAGTGTGCCCACAGTGAATAGGTGAGTGGATCACGCTAGCGTATCAGTAATTTACTCTTACTAACGTCTCTTGCCTCCGGACAGTCCACAGCAGGACGTGGACATGCTTTCGCCAAATGACAGCAGTAGCAGTAGCAGCAACAGCTCCACTAGCACCATTACATCCGCTAGCACCACAACCACCACAAGCACCCAATCCCAGTCGCAATCGCAATCTCAATCGCAATCGCAGTCCCAGTCGAATACGCAGCCACAAAGTTCCATGGAACAGTCGGAACGACCGCCAATGATCTTGGATTTTGTTAAATTGTCCACACTTGGATCGGAGACGGCAACAGAAACAGAAACAGAAACAGCAACAACAACGACGACGACGACAACAGCTGGTGACTCGGGCCCCTGCACACCAACGCTGCCATCTGTGGAGTATGTGGACGCTGAGCTGCTGGAGGGACTGTACACGCAGTGCCAGGAGGCTGGCAACTACGAAAGGCTGTGCCAAATCATTGACCATGTCTTTTCCAGCGTCGATCGACTCAGCAATAGCTTCGTCTGCCGGCCTGGACAAGAGCGGCTGCATTTGGAAAGCCAATCAAACAGTGCCCTGAATAAGGAGCAACTGCGGCAACTGGAAGGCGAGGCCGACAAGGACGAGGATAGCACTCAGCGGTCAACAACGCCAACCGAACCGTGTGCAGCTGCTAGTGCAGACGATGCCGGTCATGCAACTACTAATGCTGCTGGAGCCGATACAGATGAAAACGACGACGACGAACCGATGACTCAACAGGAGCAAATCGACGAGTTTCTGCGTAGGGGCACCAAGGTGGATTTCCGTGGACTGCGCCACATAAAACGCTTGCTCTTCGGTGCGCCTTGTCAATCTATTGCTGAGCAGATCATGAGCAGCGTCATCAAACTGGCGGACTCTATACGGGACATTCGACTGTCCTGGCCGGATTTGTGGGAGCAGGTGGTGCATTGCTTGGTCATATGCTTTGACATGGCCACCAACAGTAAGTATTGCTTAGCAAGATAAATACATGGCTAATTCCTCTCTAACTCTATCCCTTTTCAGCTACGGCCAACAACAGCGTCACGGACATGGAGTATCTGGACCGCGTGTTGCCCAAGCTTTGTCATGCAGCAGCCTCAATGTTTGTGCAAGCGCAGGCACGCCTCGCGATCATCTGGAGCGAGTATTGTGCAGACCAGCTGCAGACTCTCTTGTCCTCATGCCAACAGCAGATAACACTCCAGGTGTTGCTCGACGAGGACTCGGTGCGCGAGAACGAGCTTATTATAAGCGTGACCAAAGTGCTGAAGGTGACTTGAACAATAATATTCTCTAACTCATCAGTTTATTTAAACAGTTTTTCCCTTTACATAGATCGTGTTTTATGCCAACATATTGGCCAGCGTGTTGGAGCGTCCCTCTTGTCGGCTGCCATTACAGGAGGTAGTTGAGACTGAATCTACCGCCGCTGCCGTGGAGGATGGCGAGGATCTGTTCGTCTACAACTCGCTGCAACACCCGCATATGCCGGAATTTGCTGAAGATCCGCTAGAGCAGTGGTTGCAGGTCTCGTACATTGACTGTCGTAGTCCCCTAGTGCCGCTCGAAGAGTTCTACAACGAGGCGCTCAGCGAGCATATACAAATGCATCAAGACTATCTGTCCTATAAGAGGCTGGCCATGGAGAGCCACCTGGGCTCCAGGCACACCAAATATTTTTGCTTTATGCTCTATGCATTCATCCTAACACCGGCCACCAAGGTCGATGCCCTCTACTACGACTGCCGCATGCGCATGTACAGCGAACGTTACTCCTCGTTGTATTCCATTTTACAAAACTATGGCCAGGATGGCCAAGAGGGTGCGCGACCCGATCTCAAGCTGACGGTGCGACGCGATCAACTGATCAACGATGCGCTTATTGGAGTAAGTTCAAATAGAAACATAAAGAAACAAAGAATTTTGTAATTAATAACTGAATTAACTTACAGCTCGAGCTTGTTGCAATGAGCAATCCGAAGGATCTGAAGAAGCAGCTTGTGGTGGAGTTTGTGGGTGAACAGGGAATTGATGAGGGCGGCGTATCCAAAGAGTTCTTTCAACTTATCGTGGAGGAAATATTCAATCCAGCCTTTGGCATGTTTGTGCAGCAAGAGGAGACCAATAACATGTGGTGAGTGCGAGGTCTCAATAACATCGTTAATGTGTTAACCCTTCCAATCATTCCATTTAATAGGTTCAATCCCACGCCCTTTGAGAACGGCGCACAATTCACGCTGATTGGCATAATCATTGGCCTGGCCATTTACAACAATGTCATCCTGGCTGTGAACTTTCCCATGGTTGTCTACCGCAAGCTGATGGGCTATCGAGGCACCTTCTACGACCTGTGCGACTGGAGTCCGACGCTGTACAAGAGCTTAAAGGCCATGTTGGACTATCAGGGCCATGACATGGAAGAGGTTTTTGAGCAGACGTTCAAGATTAGCTATAGCAATGTGTTTGGCGAGCTAGTGGAGCACGAACTGGTTCCACATGGCAGCGAGGTGCTAGTCGGCCAGCATAACAAGCGTTTGTTTGTCAATCTATATAGCGATTTCTTGCTGAACTCGAACATAGAACAGCAGTTCAAAGCCTTTCGCAAAGGCTTCGAAATGGTTACCGATGAGTCACCACTGAAGCTGCTCTTCAGGCCAGAGGAAATCGAGAAGCTAGTCTGCGGCAGTCGCGTATGTTTAGAGAAGAGTTTCGCAATTCACTTTTGGGCTTTCAATAATTCTGTTGTATTTTACAGGAGTTTGATTTTGTGGAATTGGAGCATTCGACGGAGTACGAGGGTGGCTATACGGAGGAAACGCAAATCGTGCAAGATTTCTGGAGTATTGTCCATGCCATGCCACTCGAGTCCAAGCGAAAGCTGCTCGAGTTCACAACGGGATCGGCGCGCGTTCCCGTTGGTGGCTTAAAATGCTTACGATTGTTAATCACACGCCATGGACCGGACAGTGATAGATTGCCCACATCGCACACGTGCTTTAATGTACTGTTGCTGCCCGAGTACAGTAGTAAGGAGAAACTGGAGGAGCGCTTGCTCAAGGCAATCAATTACTCCAAGGGCTTCGGCATGCTGTAGTCGCCGCAAAGGAATAATGCCAAAGTAGTTGGTACACATACCTCCAGGAACGCAACAGATACCACCTCCGATAAAAATATGATGATGATGAGGATGTTGATGATAACGACGATGTTTAATTAGTTGATGAGCTTTAGTTTGTTTTTGAATTTGTCATTTATTTTTGATACAACTTGTTCAAATGAGACAATATATATATATGTGTGTGTGTAAATCCTCAATGTGGCGCGATGGCAAGAAAGCAGACTTAGCAAAACTTGATTTAACTAACTATATACTTTACTATGTCGCTCAGTTAATTGTATATAACATAAATTACATTTATTCGCATACTCATACACTCATGAATTTACGTTTGTAATGCAGCTCGCATAAAAATTTGCTGAATAAATTTTAAGTTGTGTGCCAATTGATTGCTTTTCTTATCGTTCGATAAATTTTCATTTGTTTGCAATCGATATGTGGATGTGCAGCCATCGCTCGCTTTACAGCACTGCCTCTGCATTCATATTGTCTTCGTTCGCGAGAGTCGTATTTTGCATTTTCATTCATGTTATCATCGTTGTTGCGTTCGGTTGTGCAGCGGAGAAAGGCTGTTTAATTTCAAAGCAAAGTTGCCTCTCGGAATATGCAACAATTATCATAACATAAATCTCTGCGTTAGAATTGTGAAAGTGAGCGAGTGTGAGTGGGTGTGGAATTCAGTGTTTCGGGAATAACAAAGCCAACGACATGGAAAAGCATATAAATTGCGCATTGTTGTGTTTGGCGTCGCTCTTGTTGTTTTTGCAAGGAGCCAGCGCCAGTTCAGCGAACGCCGCCGATGTTGTTGCACCCGCCGAAGTTGTTGCAGCTGCACCAGCTCAACCAAACTTAAATGGTACGTGTGTGTGTGTCTAGAATCTGGAGCATATGAGTTCATCACTGGAATTAGCAAAGCATAAGCACTAAAAATTATTAAATTGCATTCAGCTGTAGAACGATGTGCCTACACAAACACATGCACACATCCACACACATCAGATGCAGGCATTGTCTAAGCAGCTATATATGCGTGTATGCGGGTGTGTGTTTGTGTGTTTCTTTCCCTTGCTGCGGTTTTTGTTTATATTACTTTGCTCTTTCCGCTTGCTGCTTGAAATTCATGCGGTCGTTAGCATTCAAAGTGCCTAACGATGTCTCGGGATGCTCACTTTTTATTTTAATTGTTGTAGTTCATAAAAAATATTTTTAATAACGTTTTACATACACCATTTTGTTTTAATGTACGACGTATGTCATTATACAGATCCTGTGTCCCTGACACAACCAACAAATTGGGTCATATATGTATATGTATAACATTTTTACCATGTTTGAGTATAACAATGTTACTAAGTCAATAATGTTTACATTTAATATATATTAAATGACTTCCTTTTGTTAAATGTATAGAAAATTGAGTTCAAATTCTATTCTTGATCCATAGATGTTTCTATATGATATTTCATCTTTTTAAACATATATATTAGTATGTATTTATACAAACTGAAAGTTCTTCGATTGTATAATAATGAAGTTAACAAAAAATGAATTCTCTTAAATTTAACTATACATTTAAATATAATATGTACAAAATTATTCCTTTTATAACTAAGAGCAATAAATTAATAACTGGGAATTTATTTAAATTTATTATTCCATTTTTTATGCTCTATATAACTTGTTTTCTGTTAATTTTGTTATTATTTGGCAATTTATGACATTAAAATTTTTATCTTTTCCAATTCAGATAAAATAAAAGTCTTCACCGTTGCCACGGAACAAACTGATGGATATCGGCGTTATATACGCTCCGCCCAAGTTTACGACATTGAGGTAAGTTCTTTAAATTTGCTAAGCGTCGAAATGGCACAGTTAGCCGTTAAATTCTAATCGGCTAGCTGCGTCATTTTACTATCTATTGTTGAAATTTGTTATTCAAATTTTTATATAACATTTATTGTTTTTTTTTACGATCAATAAATTGTATAGAGAGAATTGCTAAAATTTAGCTTCGATTGTTGCCTACAAATTAACTCGCCTATCTGAATAGTCTCTTTTTGTATGTTCGACGATTTTAAATATTTTTCAAATAAATGCTGAACTTGTTTTTACCGTTTTGTTCGGGTAAAACAGAACTTCTAATAATATTTTATATAAATAGTAGTCGTTTGCTAACAAAATGATATATACAATAGGCTTTCATATTTCATAGATTGAAACTAAAGAACTGATTGTGAGCAAATGACCGGAAGCTTGTATAGCGAAGCTTTTTGTCAATTAATGCAAGAATACAATATATTTTATATTCTAAAATCATTTAAAGTCATTTAAGAAATTTGTAGCTCACGATTAACGACCTTTGATTGATTGATTATTCAATATACATCTGACGCGGTAAAAATCTGTTAAGGATTTTAAGTTTAGCTCTTAGTGAGTAACTAAAATATTGACATTTTATTTGTTTTCCTAATATCAATTTATTTGTTTGAAAATTTTTTTAATTTATGTAAACTTTAATTTATTGGGAAAATAAATCTCTGCCTGTTAGCAATTTATAGCATGCAAGTCTTATTGTTTTTTATAAATAGATTTCGAGATTTAATTAAATGCCGTTGTATTTTTCATATATATAAATCATACGCATGTGCCTTTAAGTATACATATATACATTTATATATACATCTGTTATTCCTAAACAAATGATTGGCCCGAAGACGAACTCTTGCCTACATATCTCGGTTTTGCGGCACACTTTTATTACTAGGAAGATTGTAGCTGTTGTATATATACAGTATATAGAGTACATATATATATAGAGTGTATAGTATATGTGTAGTATGTGTGTGAGCGTTTAGACATTCGTCCAAGCATCCGGCACTGTCGTCCAGATGACTGCTCTGGCTGCGTCTCTGATGTGTTACACAGAGATTGGCTGTTGCATTATATATATATATATAAATATTATATACCACATATGATGGGGGCACCACATACTGAACACATGTGTTTGATCGCGTTTCGATGTTTACTTTGTTGTGTTTTAATCACGTAGTCCATGCATCCAGTTGGAAGCCCGGGTGTAATTAGCACAATTCAGTTCCCGATTGTTCCATTGATTGTGCTTCAGTACTTTCCTCTCATGTACATACATACTACATATATTGTATTGTGTTCGATGTTTCGCTTATCAGCTTGAAGCTGAAGCCGGTTTTCCTAAACGAAATGTGTCGCATAAAGTCTTACGAATGCTTCTCATATTCATCTTTTGACAGAAATATTCACAAAAGAAAAAAACAAAAAACCAAATTTCATAAAATGCTGATTAGCCGGTTAGCCGGCTTTCGTTCACAGTTCTTAGATTTCAAATTTGAACTTTATTTTCGAAATGATTATAATTTGTATTTCAAGAATTATGTCAACGTAGCCGTTTAATGTGCTTAGGAAAGATTTATTTGGAGACAAGTGAATTGTGCTTACAGACATACATATGTAGACGCGACAATGATTGTAAGGCTAAGCAATAACAATCTCTGCTCCTTCTCTCAAAACAGGTGACCACCCTTGGCCTGGGCGAGCAATGGCAGGGAGGTGACATGAAGGGCCTTGGCGGCGGCTACAAAATCAATTTGCTGCGTAAGGCTGTCGAGGAGCTCAAGGATGCTGAGGATACCATCATACTATTTACGGACAGGTAGACAATATACATATTCCTACTATATAGATTACTTTTAACACCCGCACGAATGCCCACAGTTACGATGTCGTCTTCACAGCTCCGCTTACGGAGATCTTGGAAAAGTTCAAGGAATCCGGTGCCAAGGTGCTGTTCTCGGCAGAGAAATATTGCTGGCCCGACAAGAGTCTCGCGGATAGTTATCCTGCGGTGGGGGCCAAGGAGTCACGTTATTTGAACTCGGGCGCCTTCATCGGCTACGCGCCACAGGTGGTTGAGCTGCTGAAGGAGGAAATCGAGGATACGGGCGATGATCAGTTGTATTACACGAAAGTCTTCCTGGATGAGGCAAAGCGTGCCAAGCTGAACATCAAGCTGGATACACAGTCGCGTCTGTTCCAAAGCCTGAATGGTGCCCAAAACGATGTAAAGCTAGAGGTGGATCTTGACTCCAATCAAGGCGTGTTGCCAAATATTGATTTCCTGACCACGCCCGCCATTATCCATGGCAATGGACCGAGCAAAATCAACCTGAACGCCTATGCCAACTATCTGGCCAAGACTTTTAGTGGCGTCTGCACCTTCTGTCAGGAGTATCCACTAGAGTTGAATGTGAGTGAATGTTTGCTACATATAGGATTTACATAATTGTCTTATGAGCTTTCTTCTGCGCAGGAGCAAGAACTGCCTATCATTACTCTAGCTGTAATGGTCAATCAACCTGTGCCTTTCCTTGATATGTTCCTCGCTGGCATCGAGAAGCTCAACTATCCTAAGAAGTCGATGCACCTCTTCATGTACAGCAACGCAGAGCTACACGATGAGCTCGTGCAGTCCTATGTGACTAAACATGGCAAGAGCTATGCCAGCGTCAAGTATATCCTATCCACGGATGGATTGACTGAAAGTCAGGGCAGGCAATTGGCACTGTGAGTAACTAAACATGCATATATATAGGACATAGATAGGCCATAGTAAAGGATATGGAATTATTTAATATGCTTTGGTATGATATGCTTATAATCAGATGTAAGTCTTTCATACAGACTGCTTCTTATGCTCTGCGTTTTCTATACAAAGATAGATTTATAATAACATGATCGATGATTAATGAAAAGTTAGAGAAAGAGAGTGTGAGAAACTTATGTTATATAGTGTAGTATCTTTCACTTGTAGCACATCTATATTCTGTATAGAAATAAAAATAACGTTTTAGGTTTTCCAATACCTACTTTACAGCTCCCTTGTTTAGGTAGTAAATAGAATTAAAGGGAAATAGTCGAAATATTTTAAAATACTTAATTTAGTTGAGAACTTTTGAAAATATTTTAATTATTTCATAATAATAATATTTACATGTTTAACGAGTATTATCTCATTTATATTTATATGGATATCATACACATTTCAATATGATAATAGTTTAGTGACTCAATAGGCTTGATTAATCTACTGTGAAATCTACTAAGATTGAAAGCCCATATCAGTCGATACTCAAGTGTTTATTGTTGCTTCATATCTATAAAATGTAATTTACCTATATAATTGGTTGATTTACTCTTCAATTTTTTTTTGACAGTGACAAAGCAAAGCAGAAGCACAGCGACTACATTTTCTACGTGGACGGCGATGCACACATCGAGGACAGCGAGGTGCTGCGCGAGCTGCTCAGAATGAACAAGTAGGTCTTCCAGCACAGATATTTATATTTAAATATATCTGATTAAACATTAAACGCTTAACCTTTGCAGACAATTTGTGGCGCCGGTGTTCTCCAAGTATCACGAGCTGTGGAGCAACTTTTGGGGCGCGCTCTCTGAGACGGGCTACTATGCACGCTCCCATGACTACGTGGACATTGTCAAGCGGAATCTGATGTAAGCTAAAGACTTGTCGGGAATTTTTTAGAAGGTTTTCATTCGGGTACAACTTTATTGCTTATGCATATAATGGAACAAGGAAACTATAGTAGCTAATCGAAGGCAATGGAGAAATCGGTCTTAAAGCTGCGTCTGTCTATGGAATACATATTGTCCGCCGTGCACTCGTAAAGGCCGGCATCCATCTGGGTAGCCGGATCTATTTCGATCTTTGACTTGACGCGGTCCTCACCAATGGTCCATTCGTGCACATGCATGTACAGATGCTGATAGATTTCGGCACCGTCCTTGTACCAGGTTATGTGCGGGCGCGGATTGCCCTTGGCCACGCACAAGAAGGCGATCTTGTGGCCCAGCACGTACTCGAGATCAAAGTGCGAGGCTTGCAAGATCTTGGCGCCCTGTTGCAACGAAGAGATTAGTTGATAATCCTTTGACTACTTGACTAACTCACATTATTATTGTTGTAGTATTGATCGGATTCAGGATCACGGTATTTGCCCGTTATCGGCAGCCCGATCTGCACGCGCGACTTGGTGCGTCCACGACCGCGTCCACGTCGCGCCTCAACGACCGGTGCAGTTAGCATTAGGAGGACCAGGGCCAGGCTTATGCTGATTAGCAGGCACTTTGCTTGCATCCTATGCTGTCTCTCAC